AAGTGACAAGCACTTAAAAAGACTGCATTGAGCTGGGAATGGATGGAGTAGATTGAGATGAAGTCAAGGGAGCACACTGTCAGGCTCTGAATTGACCTTTGTGGGCAGTATGTCTGTGGAAAGAAGTTTTTTTAGCCTTCTGTCAGAGAAGTATTTTTGTCACTAGCACAGTATTGACAGCTGGTGATTGGAGCAGATTAAGGGCTGGTGAACTGGCAGCAAGGAGAAGACCTGAAAACATCCTCTCCATCCTACCTTAGGAATGCCTAAGACTTGTAGAACCAGGAAGCTGGCCTAGGATGTGCTAGCTCAGGCACTCCACAGGCATGCCATTGCAAATCCCATAGGTAGATGTATGTTTAAAGATATCAGGTGCTTCTGAAAATACCACCATGCTAGTGCTAAGCACAAGAAAGGGGATTTAGCCTTGCATCCATGTTTCTTTCCTGCTGCAGTGTGTATTAGAATGAACAGAGTAGGCCAGAGATGGGAAGAGCAGCAAGCAACCACAATGAAGTGTAGCAAGTTTACACCTGCACTAGCCAAAGCCAGGCTTGCAGGTGAAGCCTGTGTCCTGGTGTGTCCTGCCTGCTTGCTCATCTGACACAACAGCAGGAAATACGGGTCAGCTCTAGTATCTGTTGTATCAAGATTTTTTTACTGGGCTTAAAAGTTTCATCCTGCATCCCTAAAGAAATCCTACAGGCAATTACCTGTAACACATACTGACACCTGGCCATCTGAGCCATAGCACAATTCAGACTTCAAACTACCCACTGTGAAGTTTGGTGGAGAGAAATCACTATCTGCTTAAAGACCAGGTTCTCTGAGTTACTGCACAGGGAACTTGTTTACTGGATTTGCCTTGACTTTCCTGGCACCAAGGCTCTGGTACAGTCTCTGTTCTGCAGCTGTATTTGGATGTCATTGTGCAAGATCCTCTGTGACTTGGCCTTGATATCAAAGCCCTGACATCTTTGCCCGTTAGCCTTCCTCTCTATGCCTCCTGTGGCCTTCTAATCAGCATGTGGGGATGTACTTACTGAGGCAACACTGGAATTACCAGCAATCCAAAATACCTTTTGCTGCTGCTGCTGCGTAATGGGAGTTAAATCATCTCCCAGTCAACTCCTGTGGTCATTTTCATGTCATTTAGCAGCTGTAAGCACATCATATCTGCTTTAATGGACAGAAAACAGTTATAGCTGGGGAAAAAGTAAAGGAAAGGGAAAAAGAGGTGTAATGAATGTAGATAAAATGTGGAGCTGGAACAATTCTGCAGAGCTGACCTTCATGCTGGGATTATTTTATCAACATTCTTTCTCCAGGAGTTGGAGGAGTACTTCATTGATACAGATTTAAATAATACCATCAGTTCTTTCTGCACTCCAGCAAGAGGGAGAGACTTAAAGCTGTAATGGGTTTGGTGTTCAAAGTCAGACCTGTTTGGGGTTCTTTGTAGTTTGATGCACAGCTTGCAAAGAATTGGTAGCAGTAACAAGTGAAGTTAGATAAGCATAGAAATTCATG